GAGAGAGAGAGAGAGAGAGAGAGAGAGACTGTATGTAAAAGGAATACAATTTATATTTTTCAAATTCTTGCGATCAAAACACTTGAAATAGTTTCAAAATCAATGATATATTCTGGGAATCAAATGCTAACTCACTGTAATATACTACATTGTAAAGATAATATATTTATTATATTATATATTTATTATTATACATAATGTTTTTACTAATTTTAAACTGTGAGAGAGAGAACTATATATTTAAAATTTTCTCTATGGATAATTATTATTAATAATGTATTCGGAATGAAAATTTCTGCAATTCTATGAAATTGTTTCATCTTAAATCAAATTAATTGTTATAAGTTTAGTTGTTATCAGCTTATATCTAAATGTAATTACAATATTTATAAAAATAATATGACATACTGTAGTTAATGATTAGTAAGAAAACATAGTAAATTTACTCAGATTACATAATTATTGTTGAAATATTTTCTAAACACTAGAGCGATGAAAATACTTACAAGTTAGCATGTTTTTGCAATGCATTTGTTTATATACTGTATAGTAATTTAATTATATATGAATCGAATTTTGTGTTTTTTATAATTAATTATTCAGTAGTTATAAAATACATTTATAAATACAATTATTATGTTTAAGAAAATGTTTACCTATTTCATTATTAACATTTAATTAAGAAATTTTTTGGTGAATTAACAATGTCGTCAAAAAGCCATGGTAGACACATTTATTTTATATTATGTACTAAACCTTTACAATAAAAATATTTAATTAAAATGACAATTATTCTGGCGTATTTAAAATAAATAATTTAAAGCGTTAGGTGAATTTGTAATATAAATATAATATAATATAATTCCTTACTATATATTGATAGTAACATGCATATTTCTAGTTTTTTATTTCTTAAACAGTCTTATTAAAAATAATGATTGCCTTTTCTTATGGGGAAAGTTGAAAGGATTTTATGTATTTATAACACAACTTCTTATCTCAACTGAAAAAGTATTTTTTTTATAACCAAAAGTAAGACAGTATTATTAAATGTGAGGAATTAATATATACTGTATATCGTATTAATATTGCATAAAAAATAAGATATTTTAGATTTATGTGATAATTTACATAAATGTATATCTCGATGAAAATATTTTTTACTTCGAGTAAATGGCACTAAAATAATAATAACTTTTAGTTAAAGTTTGGAAAGAGAGAGAGAGAGAGAGAGAGAGAGAAAACAACTAAACTTATAACAATTAATTTGATTTAAGATGAAACAATTTCATAGAATTGCAGAAATTTTCATTCCGAATACATTATTAATAATAATTATCCATAGAGAGAGAGAGAGAGAGAGAGAGAACGGAGACCAAAGATAATTAGAAAATGTTTTACGATTTTTCTTTATAATTATATTTTGATACAAATTTTCATTTCAACGACTAATTACTGATCATATGTTTGTATCGTATATGAGAGATGAGAACAGCTTTTGTGGTAATAACTGGAATATTGTAATCAACTTTTAGTATTGCCCAACACTTTAAATGTTCAACACTGGTATTGTCACTTATATATTATTAATATACAGTGAAATGTTATTATTAAATACGTTTTTGTTAGAAATGCTTTTATAATTATTTACTCTTAAAGAATAAAATTGTATTTGAATATTAATTACAAACCAAAAACTAATTAACATTTTAGTCAATATCTATTATTTAAAGTTTGTTTAAAATTGTATTTGTTTAAATTATTAATAAAATTTCTATTATCTTTATGTTAAAACTCATAAATTAAATAAACATTGCGTAACAATTTTGCAATTGCCCATCATATAATTAATATTTATACATGGACAGTGCCTGTATAAATTCCAGTGCCAGGGAAAATTCACTATATAATATATATTTATATTATAGAGTTTATATATTGCAAGCTTTCACAGAATATTTACAATTCTATACATTAATTTATATGCTAAAGTTATTTGTATAATAAAATATAAGCCAATGAACTACAGTATATGTTTTATTATAGGCTTTATAGACAAAAGTATATTATACTGTGTTTTCAATACAAACCTGCTTTTGGGCATAAATTGTTCAAAAATTTAGTCTATTATTTATTTGAATTTTTATATACACCGTAAAAGTGTACACTATATGGAGATTACTTGAGCCTTACAGCTCTCAATTCAATTGATATAAATCTAATAAAATATTTATTTTTTGATTTCCTTATATTATTCATAATTATTATTTGCAAAATATACAATTGTGAACATAATTAGTGTCTGACCCCGGTTTTAACACACGCGATTTTAACAGATTTCGGTTTTAACATATGTTTTTTCTAGCACCGCTGAGTCATATTAGTACTGTTAATGTACTCGATTTTAACAGAATTCGATCTTAACATATATTTTTTATAGCACCGATGACATGTCAAAACCGGGGGCAGACTGTATATTCTAAGGGGTTTCCTATTCCATTCCTAACCTAGGTTATTTATATTTATTTTTTAAATAGAATTTTTTTTATTCATGAAATAAATATTGAAATGTAATCGTGATCAAGTATAATAAAATAAAAATATTTTAAACGTAAAATATAAACAAACATTTTATTTTAATAAAATAAGGAATAAAATGTGATATTCATTTATATATGATTGACAATACAATTATTGACTAAAATATTTTAAGAATTTTATTATATTTTAAGAAATTTTAAGTGTTTTTCTAAGAAAAAAGTTAAATATAAATCAATAAAAAAATTAATAAAAAGAGTTTTAGAAATTATATACCCTTTTATTAGAAATACCTTTATATACAATATATCTAATACTCTATGAATAGTGTTTACTACTATTGGTTGTGAAGTCTTAAAAGTATTAAATTATTTTTTATATCCGCATTATTTCTGACAAAAAATAATTGAATTAAATGTCTGAGAAATAAATGTTTTCATTTATTGATTTGTATTTTATGTGAAAATTTTAGGAAAAATAAAAACAATAATATTCTCAAGAATTCGGGTAATATTTTCACTTGAATTTTTATATTTATTTCTGTCCACAAATTTTGATCTAAAATTATTTGACACAACATTTGAAACCAAATCTTTAATAAATAACACTATTTTGTGGTTATTTTCTAAATTTTATAAAATCTATCTCGAAAGTAAAACCTAAATTAATTTTCATTTTAGAGACTATTTTTTATAAAAATTTAGTAAATTTGTTATTTTTATTTCCTGTCATTTCGGTATTGATTTTCACAAAAAAAAATATTTGTGACTTTAATTAAAATAATTGCTTTCAAAACACATTTATTTCCTGTGTTTTAGAAAATAAATTGCATTCAATGGGTGTTTAATTTCATGTCTTTTATTTTAATAATAAATTTTCATTAGAATAAAATTAATTATAATTATTTTAATTTAAAATATGATCAATTTTATTTACAATGATTTTTAATTGTTTATATAATTCACACAATCAATGCTTAAAATTATTATTTAAATGTATATTCTGTTTGAAAACTATAGACTTGTATAGGAAAAGTCGTTTATCTTTATGTAATAAATCTCTTTTACTTTCATTATAACGCAACTTATGATTAATGATTGTTTTTATGAGTATTTATTTTATTTTCATTTATATTTCATATAATTTCACACATTTTCACAGAATATTGATATAATATATACTATACACAGAATATTCTGCGCTAACATTCTTATAAATATTTAAAAATCACATCAAATATATGTTTGGGAATGAAAACAAGTTATTGTATTGAATTTATATATCATATAATAATATTGTAAGTAAAAATTTCTACACAATGTATAATTTAATGGTAAACAATATGGTATCATAAATAATACAAATAAATAGTATCAAACAATATAGATAATATTTATAAGAATATCTTACAATAGCTAAAGTATATTATATTTAAAATTCCATTTGATTTCAAAAAGTATTTGAAAAATACATATTTAAATTGGATTTACAGATAATGTAACAAAAAACAAGAAATTCAAATGTGTTGACAAAACACGTGCTCAATATAATGGCATCACTGATACACACTATGTATCGCATTGTGTGAGCTCTGTATCCAATTTGGTCTCGTTTTGGCCTAATATACGACTTCCACAACACGTGCGTTGATTCTGGCGGTGAGACCGACGCCGACGACCGCAACAGCAAAAGCTGTGCAAAGCGTTCATCAGATTCTTATTGAAGAGCAGATATATCCACGGATTGACAGTACTATTCAGACTCGACAACAGCATCAATATTGTCACGAATTCGCCTATGAATGTAATTAAAACATTATTTTATAGTCATTATGCCATTAATATACAAGAATATTCTTTCATAACACATATAGTTAACTGAATTTGAAATTACACTTAAAATTCGCTATTAATTAAGAAAAAATATGCAAAATTAAAGTTATATTAATAGATTGTATCCTAAAATAGCATCATATGACGAATGAATGTAAATTCTGTGTCCATTGAAAATAATTATACATAAAATTTTAATTGGATTTTATGGATGGGATTGGCGTCAGTTGTGAAATACATGGAAAAATGTTTTATATTCCGTTAGGAATTGGTTGGCAAACAAAAAATTATTAATCGTTACGTAAATACAGCACATGTTTAGAAAAAGGCATAGATATTAGAGAAACGTTATGTCAACACAAATATTGATAGTAATTATGGATTAAAGAAGAGCGAGAGAGAGAGAGACATTTATTTAGTGAGTTGAATGTCTGTCCAATAAATATAATACCGTTTATTGAGAAGAGGAAAAAGTGAGTAAAAGAGTATTCAATCATAACTTCTCCAACAGTTTGTCTGAATTTTCAATTCATAAAATAATATCGTTTGTGTTTTAAGAAAATGGGAAAATATTTTGATATCAGAGAGAGAGAGAGAGAAATAATTGCTTACAAACATCATGATTAAAATATAAACAAAAATGCTTGCTTGCTTATTCATTTGATTAAGCTGGAAAACAAATATCATTAAAATTTAGAAAAACCTTTAACAAAAATTGCTAACTTGTAAGAATTTTAAATTTTTTGTTTTAAATTATTTATCATGATATTAATAACATATTACAATAACCCATATTTGCCTTGACTTTATAGTATAAATAAAAATATTTTACAATTTAAAACTACTGTAATCCCAGTGGCCATTATGTTTATATCCACATTAGTTTAAACAAAAATATAATATATTTTGATTAATATTAATATTGTTTTAATGTAGAAAGAAAACTTTAAAATTTTAACTTTACTCTTATGGACTAAATTGTTATTCATATAAAATATTTAACCTGAAATAAAAATAAAATAATCGGACAGAAAAAAGCATAAAATATTTTATAAATTTTTAAGAGTACAGCACTTCATATTCCCTGATAAGAATTTTGTGCAAATATTTTATTATTATATGAAATATGAGAAGTTTCATGTAAAAAATAGATTCTTTGTATAAAATAAATAGCATTTTTCTATCATTTTCCTGTATTCGGGTAATATTTTTGTCGATTTAGTGTTTTATACAAATAAATTGTATAATAATTTACACAAAACACAACTTTTAAAAATAAATTCATATATAAATTGTATAATAAAAGCAAATATTTGAACAATAAGTTAACTTATATTTTGTTCATTCATTAATGGAGTAAACAATTATTAATGTGCTTATAATATAGAGCTTTACTATGGATTGTATTATTTTTTATTACGATAGTATTAACAAACAATAAACGGTATTATATTTATTGGACAGACATTCAACTCACTAAATAAATGTCTCTCTCACTCACTGCTAATATTTCAGTGTATTTTTGAAATTCTCGCAATTCTTGGTAAATAATTTACAGAATATTCTTTACAAATTCGTCGCCAGAATATTAATATAAAGTATTAAAAATTTATTCCAAAATTCAAAAATATAACCAAAAATATGACTTATTGTATACTGTATATGAAATATTTCACCACGATCTCTCATTGTAATGTTATTGTATGCACAAAAAATATTTATACACAATCCAAAATAATATTTCAAACAAAGTGTTATGACTTTGATTAGCATTTATATTAAAACTAGTTATTCGCCTATTATTAACGCTCCGATTCCTTAATAGCAATAAAAAATATTATTATTTTATTATTATTTAGCAAAATATATATTTAATAAGTTTATATTAATGTATACATTATAACAATACATTCAATGTTTATTCATGAAATTGATAATAATATATGTGAATAACAAATACCCGTGAATTTATACACAAAACAAAACAAAAATCAAAGCCTTAACAAAGAAAATACACAAAAACTAGATTTATTTGATTTGCAAATGTTTTAAATTTTTAGATAAATATTTTGTTTTTGGAAACAAAGTTATACTTATTTTTATTGCAAAAATAATTTCATTTCAAAGTCATACCAAAGGTTTACACCAAATATAAGGAGAAGTAGAAAAAAATATCAAAAAAGTTTTAGTCTTTATATTATTTTGAAATGATTTTGTGACAGTTTTGGTAACTTTTGGACAGAATTTTGTATACAACAAAAATATAGAAAATATATGTGAAATACAATGAGATTTCACTTTTTCTTACTTTCTCTTTGGGTATCAATGATAAAGAGATGACTCTTAAGGGTAGTGAGTGAGTGAGTGAGAGAGAGAGAGAGAGAAAATAAATTTTTAATACTTTATATTAATATTCTGGCGACGAATTTGTAAAGAATATTCTGTAAATTATTTACCAAGAATTGCGAGAATTTCAAAAATACACTGAAATATTAGCAGTGAGTGAGAGAGAGAGAGAGAGAGAGAGAGAGAGACTGATCGGTGGGGTATTGAATAAAGTGTGTCCTGAATTGAATGCATTTTCCAATACATTGTAATGTATTTCACATATAAAATCTGGTGTTAGGCTATAAAAGGCATTTACGCTTAATTTAAGTTTGAATAAAATATTTTCTCTAAGTTTTTATACGCGAGAGAAGAGGAAAAAGTGAGTAAAAGAGTATTCAATCATAACTTCTCCAACAGTTTGTCTGAATTTTCAATTCATAAAATAATATCGTTTTTGTTTAAAAAAAATGGAAAAATATTTTGATATCAGAGAGTAATGGGAGAGAGAAAAGTCGTTTATAAAAATATTTTGCATAAGTTTTAATCAATACATCAATAAAAGTATTGGTATTTTAAGCAAAACGAAGAAAAACTACAGAAAAACTAAAAGTCATTAAAATTTCTAAAAACATTTGTGCAGTAATTGAAAAATCCATTTAAATATTGAACTCATTTGCAACAAAACATTAGACAATAGTTGACATACCGGTCCAGAACGAGGTCTGTTGAGCTCCGGGCCACCAATTGGCCCACACCTGGACACAGATGAAAGGACTCGAGCACACGATATAACAGATGACGACAACTACCGTCACTTTAACGGTCTTAATCTTGGCTTTGGATATACGATATATTGAGTGACTTCTGGGGGCACCACAATTGCCACTACCACTACCACCGGTGGCCACGTATTTCCCACTACCGACTCCATTATCATCACTATTGGTGCCAAAACTATTGTCCAAACTGTCAGATTTGGCGTTAGTGTGGTCTTCACTGTCTGTCTTCAGCCAATTCTTTCTCATCTCAATAAAACTGATCTCCGGTTTCAGTGTCTGGCGTTTGAGGCGTACGTTATTCCACACCTCATAGCAGATGTAAACATAGGTATATGTGATGATAATGAGTGGTATGAAAAACACGGTCACCGTATACCACGTGACGTACGCCCGCTCTCCCCACGGGGGCGGGAAAGCCGAGAAAGTGGCCCAACAGTCGTATACACCTCTATAGCCGGGTATCTCCCGGTAGGAGAAGATGAACGCCTGGGGCGCTGAGCACAGGCTCGATATGACATAAGCGGCCGTAATCTGGAGCTTAG